ATCATGCAACCATGAGTATAGTACATCTTAATGTATGATATCTATATGGATATACACTATAGAGCCATCTGTACATATGTCTACAATCATACAGTCATATGCAGAGAACATATCATGGTGATAGATATAGAGCATACAACCATGTGTACAGTACATGTTGTATCATATGCATGATCACACATGTGTAGAGCACATGACATCGTATCTTATCTATGATCACACGTCATTGTATCATATCTATATGACACTGTATGTGTCATTGGATCATATAGCCATGTGTCATTATAATCACAGATCATACAAGCATGTGTAGAGTACATGTCATTGTATCATAGATCATACAAGCATGTGTAGAGTACATATCATTGTACCATACATGCATGTGTCATTGTATCACACCCAGGCAGAGAGCACACAGGGGGTGATCGCCCTCTCCAGCCTCGTATCTCCATGCTCCGGGCTCCCTCCGCTCCCCCCGATCCGCGCACACACACACAGGGCTGCAGACTGACCCGGGGCCCCGGACACTTACCTGCCAGCAGCAGAGGACACGTGGGGCCCCTGGGAAGGACGAGGAGCCCCGCCGTGTGCCAATCAGAGCCGAGCACGTTGCCTGTAAGAGAGAAGGAAGAGCCAGAGTGACAATGACACTCACCCTTTGCATGGCCTTCAAGATCAGAGCCATCTCGTATCTGGGCATGGCGGTGGGCGGAAGACGGTCGGGGTCTGCGAACGAAGCCCAGACACAAGTGAGAGCGATCCGGTGTGTGAGCTTAGAGGAAGGGCAAAGATGACACCGGGAACCGCCTTCCTTCTCCTGCCGCCCGCCCCCTCCTCTGTGCACGGAGCCTGGCTGAGCACACACACCCCCTATGACGTATCACCCGTGCCGCCCCATCGAGTGTGCACACCCCCTACTATGACATCTCACCCGTCCCGCCTCATCGAGTGTGTACATCATCCATACTTCCAAACTGCCTATGTACGCCTCCTGGGATGTCACCCATACCGCCTTCCTGGCTGTGCATACCCCCCTACAATGTGTCTTCCTGTAAATGTATACATTGTGTGTACTGCTCTCCAGCCTATGTACTCCTCCTGAGATGTCACAAAGGGGTCTATGTATAAAAAGATGTGCGTAGTTATTCATCCAGCAAAACTACATGTACATTGGTTCTGTGAGAAATAGCCAGTTGTTGTGAGAATTGGGGAGAAATCGAATGTTCTTAGGCCCCAATCACACAAGGCGATTTGGGATGCCTGCGACACAAATGCCAGCTGTCCCTGTTCAGATGCAGCCACTATCCCCATTGAAGTTGATGACTGGGTGACAGTGGCTGCACCTGTGTCAGTCCACATGTAATCAGTGGCGGAACTACCAGAGTCGCAGAGGTCGCGGCTGCGACCGGGCCCTGGAGTTCCGCCATTTGTAGGGGGCTAGGACAGGAGGAAGGGGCCCCTGGTAACCACTGATTACCAGGATATTTATTATCCCGGTAACCGCTAATGTCAGTCCCGGGACCTCTTCCTCCTGTCCTGGGCCCTACATGCTTCACGCTGCTCCCCTCACCTTGTACCGGACGCAGCGTGAAGAATGATCCAGCTGGCGCTGCAGCCAATGAGTGGGAAGCGGTGCTATCCCCACCCCCCTCATCACACAGAACGCTGCCGAATAGAGAGCTACTGCGGACACGAAGGGGGAGATATAGGGAGCTGGGACTATGAAGGTGACGTGGGCAGGGCCGTCTTTAACGCAGGGCAAAAGGGGCGGTTGCCCCGGGCCCAGTCATTGCTGTGGGGCCCAAAGCAGCTGCCTTTTGAGCCTGCTAAAGATACACACGCAGCACCGTTCTGTTCACTATGCAATCGGCATTGGATAGTGTTGCTCCGCCCCTTCTGTACGCTGAGTAGCGTGACCGCATGATGTCTTACGCGGGGTCACGTCCCCCTCTGATGTCTCCTCCTA